ACTGTAAGATTCCATATATGTCAAATTCTAGGAAATGCAAACGAATTTACAGTAATAGGAAACAGATTAGTGTTTGCCTTGGGATGGGAAAGTGGTAAACAAATTATAAAAGGGCAAGAGAAAACCGTTGGGGCTGATGGGTATGTCCATTAGATTGTGGTGACCATTTCGTGGGTGCATGCATAGGTCAAAACTGACCAAACTGTACACTTTAAATAACAGGCACTTTATTGTATGACAATATACTTCAATTAATTTTTTTTAAAGTCACCAGAAATCTTCATTTTCTTAATTATGACCATCATTAACACACCACTGATTAAATACGGGGCACTCTGCTAATCCTAAGAAAGTTGTTCCCTGCCCTCAAGGAGACAGTTGGGAGGGAATGATACTAAAAGTAAGTAAAATTCTGAGAATTTTAGATGGAAGTGAGAGGAAAAAATGTTCTTAGAAACAAATTACTGTATGAATTACTTTGGATCTTTAAGTAATTTAGATGCCTATGGAAGTACTTGATTGTGGGGTTATTCCACAATGTTTACATATGAAATAGCCAAGTTATACACCTGAAATATAACCTATTAAAAAAACCAGAAGCTTCAAAGAAGGAAGTAATTTTTTCTGGCAAAGAATAATCATTCCCAGGTTGTAACTTTCTTCAGTTCATTTTACAGTTTGACTTTCTGATATTCTTAATACGTTTTAATAAAGTATAGGAATAGTGAATTTTTTTTTAATCTATGTAATTCACCAGTATTAACAAAAGAGAAGGATCCATAGACTCACCTCAAAAGATGGAGGCAAAAAACCATATAACATCAATTTATAATAAAAATTTTTAGTAAACTATAAATAAGAGGTAACTTCTACAACTGATAAAAGGCATCTACAGAAACCTACTTTAGCTAACACAATGCTTAACAATGAAAAACTGAACTCTGTGACTGGTAACATGGCAGAGATATTCACTAATTTCTCTTCTATTCAACATTGTACTGGAGGGACCTAATCAAAATAGTGAGAAAGAAAAAAAAAAGTTGAATACAGATTGGAAGGAAATAAATAAAGCTGTCTTTATTTGTGGATGACATCAATATGTACAAGAAAATCCTAAGAAATCTACAAAAAATCTATTAGAACTAGTAAGTAAATTTTGTATATTTGTAATATACAAATTCAATACACAAAGATTGATTTTTTTATATGTAATAGCAACAGACAACCGGAAAATTAAATTAAAAAGTCACAGTAGTGTCAAAAACCATAAAATATTTGGAGATAGTGAATGAAGTATGTGTAAGACTTCTCTGAAAAGTACAAACCACTGCTGAGAGAAACTAAACAAGCCCTAAATATACTTGGGGAAATATACCATGTTCATGAATTGGAAGACCCAACATTACTGTAATGATTCCCCCCAAATCAATCTCTAGATTCAATATATACCAAACAAACTCCAAGTTGCATTTTTTGGTAGAAATTAGAGAAGACTCTAACATTAACATGGAAAAATAAAGTTCCTAGAATAGCCAAATATTCTTAAAAAATAACAACATTGAAAAACTAAAGAGTAGCTAATTTGAGACTTACGAGAAAGCTTTCATTAAGTAAGACCATGTGGAATAGGCATAAAGATAAACAAACAGAACAATGGGAGAGAAAAATACTCATACTCACACATTCAAATAACTTTCCACAAAAGTACCAATGCCAATGCAATAGGAAAAGACAATCTTTTCGACACATGGTGTTGGAATAACCAGGTATCTGTAGGGCATAAAATGAATCTTAACTCATACTTCACATCATTTGCAAAAGTTAACTTGAAATACATCACAGATGTAAAGGAAAAAAGCTAACATTATAAAGCTTCTAAAAGATAATAAAGGAGGATATCTTTACCATCTTGAGGTAGGCAAAGATATCCTTGAGATAGAACCCAGGAAGCACTAACTATAGAAAAAAAACGATAAACTGGACTTCATCAAAATGAAAGACATCTGTTCATCAAATGATACATATGAAAATCAACTGGCATGCCAGACACTAGGAAAAACTATCCACAACACACGTATATGACAAAGAACCCAGACCTACTAGAAAATATAAAGGTATATATAAAAAACTCCTACAACTTAATTATAAAAAGACAAACAGCCCAACCAAAAAACTGGGCGGAAGACTTGAACAGATAATTTCCAAAGTAAAATATATTAGTAGCCAAGAAGTAAATACAAAGATGTTCAACATCATTAGTCATCAGGAAAATACAAATTAACACCACAGCAAGAATCCACTATCCGCTCACTAGAATAGCTAGAATGAAACAGACCAACACCATCAAATGTTGGCAAGAATATGGAGCAAGTGGAACTCCCAGACACAGCTGGTAAGAGTGTAAGATGCTATGGTCATGTGGAAAATGGTGCATCACTTATTAAAAAGTTAAACGTACTATTCCCTATGACCCAGTAATTCTATTCCTTGGTATTTATCCAAGAGAAATGAACACATATGCCCACAAAATCCTCATATAAGCATTTTCATAGCAGCTTTATTTATAATAGCCCAAAGCTGGAAACAACCCAAAGTAACAGGTAAATGGCTAACCAAGTCCCATTTTCATACAATAGAACACTGCTCAGAAGTAAAAAAAAAAATAAAAAATGGATACATATGATAATGTTATGAATCTTAAAAGCATTCTGCTGAGCAAAAGAAGTCAGACATAAAAGAATACAGATTCTATAACACTAATTCTAAGAATTTCTTCCACAGTCAGCCTATGTCCCAGCCCTGGACACCACCCGATAAAGCCCTCAAGTCCAGCCCCTGCCTCCACAAAGAGTCCACTGGTACACAAATCTCTAGAACCAGACAGAGGCCACCAGCAGGAGCTATCTCTTGGTAAGCCTTGGATAAAACAATTCTCTGTTGAATCTAGGCTAAATCTCTCATGCTGTATTTTAAACACAGATGATCCCTGGGTCCCCAGACTTCAGTGGATAACAGAGATTCATTCAACAAGCTGATACAGAAAGAAAGAGCGTTCACAACAGAAAGCACAAGAAAATGAGGAACAGAGAAAGAAAAGCAGACAGCCCTTCAGGAGAGATGCCCCAGGCTGACAGGGAAAGGCTTAGGGTGCAAGAGACACACCCCTTTCTCCTGCACCATCTGACATGGGATATAGGATAGACATAGCTTCATGGTTGAGTATTGGGTGGGGAGCCTGCCTGCCAGAATTCAAGGCCAAGCTCCCCATCTTACTAACTCGATGGCCTTACTCAACTTGTCCCAGGAAGCACTAGAGATAGTCTCCAAAGGCTGAACCAAAGGTTGCAGTCTGGCCTTGTAACTAACACCTCACTGAAAGTGCATTCTGGGTAGCATCCGTTCTGGGCACCAGGCAGCAGGGCAGTCGCTGCTTCATTGGAGAACACAGACATGGCTGCCCTGTACCTGTTGTGAAAAGCTGGATCCCCAGAGGGGTGCAGGCCATGGTGTTCAAGCCCCACCACAGCCCTGCTGCCTGGGCATCAGTACCACAAGTGTGTCAAGTGAACGAGCTGGTGCCCACCCAGTTGGGCATCCTGTCTCCCTACACAAGATCTGGCTCTATGGTGGATACTGAATGACCCATACAGCCCAGGCTGGGAGGCAGAATATGTTCTTCCAGTGGGGCCATAGCAGGTATCTCATGTCAGAGATGTCTATAACCCAGATCCTGGGCTGAAAATATCTTAAGAGCTTTCATAGATGGGCAACTGGAGCCCAGAGAAGGACAGCAACAGGCACGAGGTCACACAGCAGTCAGGGTCAAGCTGGGATGAGAATCCCAGCCCAGTGCTTGACCTCAGGACTGGGGTTCTTGTTCACGGGGAGACCCCTCAGCACCTGCCACTCTACCCAGCAGGGAAGCTACCGACACCACCCTCCAAGCTCTGACTTCTCCCTCCCTATCCAATAGCCTTGGTATTCCAACAGCAGGGCTCCAGGAGGGACTTGGGCCTTCCTAGACTGTAAGTGGCTTTGAGCCCCCAGTGACCTCCCTCTCTGTTTGGACCCAACTCTTCCCATCCACAGAATGGGAAGTGGGATTCCCACAGCTCCACTGTGAAGAACAAAAGCACTAACACTCCCCAAAAGGCTGCTAAACATCCAGCTCTGAGACTCTGCACAAGCCCTGCCCCTGTCAGACTTCAGCTTCCACACCTGCACACGAAGCGGAGGAGAGTTGATAGGCCTCCCAGCTCAGATACTTGGGGATCCAAGGATGGAGACCCCTCTAATATCCAGAGGAGGTGGAGGGAGATCAGCAAGGTAGGCTCACAGGCACCAGGAGGATGGAAGGCCAGGATGTCCCTGTGGGAAGGACCTTTAGAGCTCTTTCCTTTCTTGGTCAGAGAGGGAGATGGTGACCCAGAGACAGGATGGGGCCTGCCGCAGGTCACAAGCAGATCTGGGACTCAACAGGGATTGACAGCCAGGGCTTGGCTCCCAGCTCAGGGTTCCTGCCACCTCCTTAGCTTCCCACCGTCAGGGGCCAAGAGGGAGCTGTCCAGTGAACCATGCCCCTACCCTGGGCTCCTTCCTGCATCTGTTCAGACTGAAGCTGCATTACGGGGCACTGGCTTTGGGGATGGAGAGTCATAAACCTTGTGATGGGGAGGCACCTAGAGGAGGCGGGGACGGGGCCACAGCAGGACTTGGACAAGCAATGTCCACCCCCCTCCCCCAGTCACGTGGGCACAGGCCTCTGAGTCCACTAAGAGAGGGCTCTGACTCTGCTCTTGCTTAAGAGGGGAACTTCTCAGCTATTTTGGCCACTATGGGCAGGTGGCCCTGGGTCAGACTTAGACACCTAAAAACTGACCCAGAACTGTGCTCACCTTGCTTTCACCATTTCCTGGCCAAGCTCCAGAGGCCTGGCTAATGGCTGGCCCACTCTGTCTCCGGTCCCCCAACCCCCATCCCCGCCGGGAGGAGGTACTCACTGATGGGGGCATGTAAGGCCACATGCTCCTGGTAGGGAGTATAGTACTTGTACTGTTTCCCACAGAATTCACAGGTGTAATTGCCAGTTTCTGTCCAGGAAAAAGATGAAGGCGTAAGAACGGGCAGCCGGCCCCCACCAAGAAGCATCAGCGTGCTCTCAACCCCCAGAATAACTCCTCCCCATTCTGGGACAACCAACTAGAATCAATTCTGACTTTGGAGTTAGAAGGCCCCTATTCAAATCCCAGCTCAGACGCTTTGAGCTGGGTGACCTCGGGCAAGTCTCTTAACCTCTCTGTGCCTCAGTTTTCCTGTCCGTAAAAGAGGGGTCATAATGGGACCACCTTGTAGGATTGCTGTGAGGATTAAATTTAGATAGCAAGTGCTTAGAACAGTACCTGGCACATCGCTCCACCCCAACCCCGGTGCTCAGGAAACGTGCTGACCTCCAACACCAACCTCTTCATCAGCCCCTTGGCAAGCCCTGCCCTCTGCAGTGGCCACACCCCGGGGTCCCCTCATCTCTAGGACCTTCCCTGCCCCCAAGCACCCCCCACCCGCTAGCAGCAGGGGTCACTTCTTCCTCTCAAGTCCCACCCGACTTTATCTTTACCTCTCTTTTGGCACTGCCTAACTTCTTTCTTCTTAAAAATGTCTGATGTAATATTGTTCACTGGGGGAAAATTATAAAATACTGATAAATACAAACACAAAATCAAAACTAAAGAGAAATTACAATCATCTGTAATCCCCAAACAAACAGCAGCATCTGCCCCCCTGGGGGAGGGTGCCCTGGTCCCCACTCTTTACTCTGTCTCATCTGGGGTGTGCTTCTGTCACTGATACTACCTGTCTGGCTCCTGTGAGCCCTGAATTAGCCACTCCTGATCAATACCCTCTTTGTAATCTGGTGTATTGAATTGACATTACTTTGTGGACATTTGCCCAATCGATATTGATCTCCACTGCATATATTGGCTGCATGGTTCTCACTGGACTTTGGAATTTGCTGAGCCAATCCCCTACACCAAGAGACATTGAGATTGTTTCAAAATTCTTTTCCTATTAAAAAAAAATGCTGTGACTCATGTCCTTATAGAAATTTTTACATTCACCCATTAGTTTTGCACATTACTGCAAATTAAAGGCTTTTCCACATAATCTTTGCACATTATTTCCTGGGGAAAAATTCAAGAGAGGGAAAGGGTATGTATTTTTAAGGCTTTTGATAACCATAGCACCATCATCCCAACCAGAGAGGTGTGAAAATGCCGGTGTGTGCACACTGCAGCCAGCATTAAGTATATCATCTTCTTAAATTTTGCCTATCTGATGAGAAGAACTATATTCCACTGCTGATTTTCTTTTCCATTTCTTTGATTGCTATGGAAATTGATTATTTTTCATGTTTAATTAACTATGATTTTTCTTTTGTGATTTTCCTTTTGTGTTTACAGCCAGCATTTCTACAGGCATACTGACATTTATGAAATCACTAAACTCTTTTAACATTTTGTTATACACATTAAAATTTTTTCTTAATTAGTTTATTAGTCTGTTTACGGTTTTTCTCTCCCGCTATAGAATTTTTAGTAGTTAAATAACTGTTGTAACTGGTTCATAAACATTGGAAAATGTAAGTTATTTGCTCTTTGTAGGATTCACTGTTATTAGATAAACTGTATTAACTATATTATTTAAATTCTATACAATCTTGTCTACTTGCTCTGTGGAAGACTGAAGATTGTGATAAAACCTTCCATGTCACTATATTTCTAAATTTATTTTGTATATTTGGAAACAATGTTGTTTGATGCATAAAGGCTCATGGGATCAAAATCTTCACTGTGAACTGAATTTAGTAACATAAAACTGTTTTCCAACACAGTGATTCTCAAAGTGCGGTCCCTGGACCAGCAACGTCAGTATCACCTGGAAACCTGTGAGCAATGCAAATTCTTAGGACTCACCTAAGACCTACTGAAATAAAAATTCTAGGTGTTGGGTCCAGCAATCCGTGTTTTAACAAGCCCTCCAGAAAATCCTGATGCAAGGGAAAGTTTAAGAACTTGTGCTGTAACATTTAATTATTCAATTTTGTTAGTTTATCTGGCATAAATAATTTGATAATTTGTCAGAGCCTGATTTCTACTTGTTTACATGTACCTAAAGACATGTCCCTGTATTTTCTCATTACTGTCATTCATTAAACAGGTACTGTGCTAAGTGCTAGTACAAAATGCTGAGCAAAAACAGGCAACGTTCCTGCCTTCAAGGACTTTACAGTCTAACAAAAGGAGATTGAAAAATCAGAGTCACTCAAACAAATTTAAAACTCCATCCACAGTAAGGGCTCTCAAGGAGACATATGCAGTGCTATAAAAACCTATGATAGGGAATTCACTCTAGTTCTGGAAGTAGGAAAGAGAAGCTCAAGTGTAGAGTAAAGATAAGGGATTAACCTTGCCTCTAATAAACCATTAATAACTGGATTATTTTAAATCAACCTGACAAGCTCTGTCTTCTAATAAAGGAGATTATGCCATTTGCTTTTATTGCTATAATTGATTTGGTTTTATGAGTCTTCTTCATGCTCCACCCTTTCTGATTGCTGCCTTAATTCCTAGTTGTCTGATATATGAACTCTTTATTTTTCCATTATTCTCTGATATTCCATAATTTTCCAATATTCTCTATTGTTATAGATAGTATATAAGATCTATTTCTCTAATTGTTAATAGTCAAATGGGAAATGACATTTTAAAGTCTATCATCATTGAGAAAGGGAGTATAAACCAGTGTTTCTCAAAGTTTAGCATGTGAAAGAATCATCTAGAAAGACTGTTACAACATAGATTGCAGGGATCCACCCAGGAAATTCTGATCCTATAGGTCTGGAGTAGGGCCTAAGACTATACATTTCTAATAAGCTTCCAGGAATGTTGATCTGCTGGTCTGGGGCCACAGTATGCGTAGGACTGGCTTAACCTACTTTACCGTATCCCTCACCAATTCCTCCTTCCTTTTTTAAAGAAAACCCTCATTTTTAATATTTTAGAATAATCTTCCTTCTGCAATTTTATAATCAGATTTGGAACATTTTAAACTAACTTCTAGTTTATCTGATTTTACAACTCACAGTTCCTCTTATACTATGAATTTCTCACAATTGAGCCTCTAAATGCATTCTACAACTTAGTTCATCAGAGCATATCTTCAAATAACTTTGTGAAGATGGGTATATAGGAAAAAAAAGTATGTTTTTTAAGCCCATCCTTTTCTCTTTACACACAAACCACAATTTTTCTAGATTACAACCTTTTCCCTTCAAAACGTATCCATTATCTTCTAAGATTTAGTATTGCAGAGAAGTCTGAGGCAAGTCCACCTTGAATTCATGGATAGATAACTTGCTTTTTCAAGCCGGAATGCCTTTTTTTTCCCCCTTTACAGTCCCTGAGATCTATTTAGGTACAGGTCTCTTTATACCGACTCTATCTGACATGATGAGCCTATTAAATCTGCAAATACAGATCTTCCTTTAGCTGAGCAAAGGTTTCTTCTACTAGATCTTAGGAGCGCTGTTTCTCACCACTGGAACTGTAGCATCGACTATCTAAAACTGGCTGCCTGTTCTCCCTATTTATCATATTTTCCTTTCATTATCTTCATCTGTTCAAGTTCATTCTTCACATCACTAATTCCAATTTTGCAGATAAACTCTACTCTTTACTATACAGAATGTAGGTTTTAATTCTGTTCTTATGTTTTCTGCTTCCCTGAAATCCTTCCAGGTCTCACTCCTCTCTACCTTCTTATTCTGTTGATTTTTCACCATACAACTTCTGGGTCCTTTTTCACAGGGGTCATGCTATGGACTGAACTGTGCCCCCATCCTCAAATTCATATGTTGAAACCCTAACTCCTAATGTGATGGCATGTGGAGATGGGGACTTTGGGAGATAAGCAGGATTAGATGAGGTCATAAGGGTGGGGCCCCCTTCATGGGATCAGTGCCCTTATTAGAAGAAAGCACTCTCTCTCACATCATCATGTGCAGAAACATGGTGGCCATGTGCAAGCCAGGAGGAGAGCCCTCAACAGAACCCAGCCATGCTGGCACCCTGATTTCAGGCCTCCCAGCTTCCAGAACTGTAAGAGATAAATTGTTTAAACCATCCAGTCTACAATATGTTATTGTGGCAGCCTAAGTGGACTGTAAGACAGGTCATATTTCCTTATAAGAGAAGGCTGTCAAACAGAATGGTCTTCTAGATTTTGTGGTAGATCATTTTCAGAAGTGTGCTCTTCTCTTGAGTCTTGTAAATTCTCTTTTTCTTGTTATGTGGAATTTACACAGTTCTCTCATTTTTCTTTTTATTTTTTTACTTTTCAAGTTACTCTTCCTTATTCAGGCATAAAAATAAAGTAACCCATACATGATTCCAGACTTAACTCTGTCTCGACAAACCACATAAATGAATTTTCCTTGATTCTCCCTCTGCCCATTATCAGGAAGTAATTCTTGGATCTGGAGATGAAGAGCGAATTAACACATAGGCTTCCTGGACCAACTCTGTCTTTTCTAAAAGGATTCTCTGCGCCGTCACTGCCTGGGTTTCCTCCAACCTTAGTACCTAATTCTCTAATGTGCTCGGCTGATGCTGATGTGAAAGGTGTACTTTCCAGTACTCAGCCCTGCCAGGGTGCTTCCTCTTTGCCTGACTACAAAGCTTTACTTGGGCAATCGGTCCCTTTGGAATACATGGTTCCTCTACTGGCTAATCCTGTTTAGGGTTCTGCGGCATTGGCCTGCTTACACATAGCAGGAGCTGAAGAAGCAACATTTTTGTCTCAGGAGCCAGCTCCTGAGAAGTAGCAAGGGATGGTCTCACACCACCCCAGCAATTACAGCTCCATTCAGTCCAGCTGGGAGCACGCTGGCAGCCAGATCCAGTATGATTTTCTCAATGCAATCCTATACTCCTTATAATTTGTGATAATTCCTCCCAGGTCCTAGCATTGGCTGTCTGTCAGACTTACAGACACACAGAACACGCTTCATCTTGTTCAGCATCTTCCTGGGTAATTAACAAGTACCACCTATTTAATGCTTTGCATGCATATGCCAAGGACTACGTTAATTCTTTTACAAACATAATCTCAACTAAGCCCCAGGACAATCCTGAAAGGTGAGTTTTATTGTCATTACCCCACTTAGAGTTACAGAAACTATGGATTAGACAGATTAGAAAACTGGTAGGACATCACGCAGCTATTAAGTGTAGAGCTGGGAGTCTATTTGGGTTGGCTCTAAACTCTTGCCCTTGACTCTTTCTCAGCAACACGTCTCACTTACTACACCTTGGATACGAGCCAGGTGTTTGGCGAGACACCTTACGTGTGCGTGCTCCAACGGCACGGGAAAATTCAGAGACAGGCTTGTCCCCAACTTAGACACTCACAGGGGTAAGTAGCTAGGAGGCTGGTGGCAACAGCATTCAAACCCAGGCTTGATTCCAAAGCCCATCTTCCTAAAGACAATGACATGGTTGGAAGAGCGGCAGTACACACTGGGACCACCGCCAGACCCTGGATAGATACTGAACAGGGAGGTCACAGATCTGCCGTTCCTGTCCTGTATCTGCCTATGAATGTCTGTCTTTCCTACCAGATTATGAATTCTTTTTTATTTCAGACTATGAATTCTTTGAATGCTGCAAATATGCCCGATTCACATCTTATGTTTCCCCTGCAGCAACTAACTTCCTGTATTTGAGTGTTGAGGGTTTTGTCATATTCATCTTTTTTTGGAGATGGAATCTCACTCTATTGCCCAGGCTGGAGTGCAGTGGTGCCACCTCGGCTCACTGACCGCAACCTCCGCCTCCCAGGTTCAAGCGATTCTCCTGCCTCAGAATCCTGAGAAGCTGGGACTACAGACGCATACCACCACGCCCAGTTAATTTTATTAGAGACAGGGTTTCACCATATTGGCCAGGCTGATCTTGAACTCCTGACCTCAGGTGATCTGCCTGCCTCGGCCTCCCGAAGTCCCGGGATTACAGGCATGAGCCATCACACCAGGCCATATTCTTCATCTTTAAGATTATTTTAATGCTCCTATTTATCCAGTGTTTACTATGCATGTGACAAGCACTGTGCTAACCACTTTATAGACATTATCTCAATTTCAGTTTCCTGAATGCTTTCAAAAGAGTTAAGAAAAAAGTAAAGAATCATCCCATGACCACAGACAAGGGATGAGGAAGAAAAAGCATTTGGGGGAAGAGGAGACCCACCCAACCCCTTCCAAGGGCTGGGACTGAGCTCTGCCCCAAAGAAAGTATCCAACTTAGCATTTCAGCTCCTCTGATTTTCCTTCACATAGATATCCTCATCTGCTTGTTCTGTTTTTGTGTATATTTTTCTAAGCTGCCTTAGATCCTTATTGGAAGGAAGCAGAGGCCATAAAGGTCTCTTCTTGCTGGGTAGTAAGTAAGGTACAGGAAACAGAGATAAATAGCAGGTGTGTCAATTCCTGAATGGCTGGAAAGGACAAGTATCACTCACTTGTGGTCCCACCGCACCTGCCCTAGGCTGGCCACCGGGCCCCTCCCAATCCATCTTCCTCCCAGCAGCAAAATTGGGCTTACTAAAATGCAAACCAGATCAAGTTCCTTCTCCACTTAGTAAACTCTCTGTCATTTGCCTGGGGATGCTGCCTGCTGGCATTCAAGGCTCTGTAACACTTGAGGTCATCATCGATTCCTGAGACCAGTACGGCTCTCCTGCCTTTGCATGGGCTGCAGGGGCTCATGCCCTACCCTTGTCCCCACCCAAAAGCTTCCGGCACTCCCCCAGGCCCCCCACAGCTCCCTGCAAGCTCTCTGCGTTGGAACTATCTGTTCAAGTATCTGCTGTCCCCACCCCCAAGTCCCATCTTAATTACCCAAGGGCAGGACCACATATGTCCTGCTCCCTGCTATGTGCTACAACACTCAATACAAGTTTACCGAAAACAGGCCGGACAAGTGTGCGGCTCCTGCCCTCGAGGGGTTTCCTAGGACAGAGACAGAGTGTCAGCCTGTGGCTGCCCTGGACCGCTCATTCGCTGATAGGCCCCTTCAGGGACTATGACGTGTTATTTTCCGAGCACCTACTATGTACCAGGCACTGTGCTAACAAGTGGTTTACATCCAGGATCTCATTTAATCCCCCAACAAACCTGTGGGGAAATGTCATCCTCACTCCACAGGTGGGGAGGCTGAGGTTCAGGATGGCTAACAGACCATGAGGACGCCGAGCCTGCAAGCAGCAGCGCCAGGACTCAGCCCCAGCCTGGCTGCCTTCACTGCCCTGACCTTGACCCTGCGCTGACTGCAGCACCTCGAAAGCTCCAGTCCTGACTGGTGGGCACCGTTGCTGCAGGTAAGGGATGCCACCCACCGCTATGCCTGCTCTAGCAGTGAGACTGAGCCCTGCTTTCCTTGGCCAGCCCCCACCCTGCCCTCAGCCCCAAAGAGAATCCCGCATACTTGGCCCGATTTTCTGGAAGGGTTCCGGGGGCTCCTCCTTCACCTCGTCACTGGCCACGACACCTTGGTCGAAGGGGTCTGTGGGAGAACATATGGCCCTTAATACTGTGGTCCCCCAGGTATCAGGGGCCCAGCTGGGGACAGGGGAGGTGATGAGCACCCACCAAGGACTTACCTGCCCGGTTCTCGGGGGCCCCTTCCACACTAAACACTACGCCGGGGCGGGAGGCGGCAGCCGCAGAAGGAAAGAAGCAAACAGGAGCCCTGTTAGTCCCTGCCCAGAGCTGCCTCTGCTGCCGCTCCCAGCCCCTGGCCCCCTGGGATTGCCTGAAGGCCCAGGAGGGCCGCCCTGGCCATCGTGGAAGCCCCCCAAAACCAGGACAACACAAGGACGCATCCCGACCAGGACACAGCCTGGACTGCAATCCGTCGTCCTCACTGGGACAGGCACCCACCCCAGCGCAGGCAGGCATTGTTTGCCTAGAACTGTTTCTGATTGCCAGCATGCCTTCAAGGGGCCAGGGCAGGAGAAAAGAGGAAGAGACTGGGAGAAGAGAAAAGAGGAGGTGAGAAAAGGGATGGGCTAGTGGTAACAGGTGGTGGGCCCGGCTGTCACAGCTCGAGGCAGGCTGAGGGCGTGGGGCTAGATGGGGAACCCCAAAGGCCCTTCTAAGGTCACAGACCCTCTTTCTAGGATTCTTAAGATTCAAAAATGTGTTAGCTAAATGTGTTGTTCTACTTTCTAATTCTATAATCTAAGATGCTAAAAGGCCATCATTCGTTTTTTTAAAATCAGTTTAATTTCATCAGAACATGAAAATGCTCAACAGGAAACTATAAAATGACTCGACATGACATTCCAATATTCTGCTGATTTTGACCTATAAAAACGGCAATTTCACTACTTAACCTATATAGAAGTGTATGTGGCGTATGATGGGGACGTTCCCGCCCCCAGAATCCTCCAGGGCTGGTCACCCCCCTCGTGGTTCCGGCTGCTGCCTGGCCTTTTTCTGGGTAAGAGGGAGGAGGGAGACGGGGAGGGCTGGGGGCTGTGCCTTGGAGAAAGGGCACCTCTTGGCATGACTCCAGGGAGTGAGGGCCTGACTCACCATCCACTGCATGTAGGTCTCGGTGCTCCTGGAAACAGCTGTAGTATTTGTACTTCTTCCCGCAGATGTCACATGTGTACCTGAAATTGTCTACAAAGGATGAAAACACATACCTGGTTACCAGGGCGACAGTCATGTAGGGTGGGGTTTTTCTGGCCAGATCATCTGAGAAACCAAAGATGGGACTAGCCCAGTCTGGCTCCAACTGAATGACCCCCAAGGAAAAGTCAGTTCCTGAGCCAGTCTGTACCCTGGCACTGCCCAAGTCTTCTGGACATGGAAGGCCACGGCACCACCTACCCCGCCCCGGAACGCCCAGCTTCTCCTCCCCAACGTGCAGGACAGTGAAGCTCTTGCTTCAGTGCTGGCCCTACCCTCTACCCCAAGCCAGCCCTGTATTGCCTCCTGGGTCCACAGGATGTAGGCCGGGCTTTCAGGGGTCCTCTGTGGAGATCCAGACCACACATCTGGTCCTACATGACTGGGAGCCCAGAAGTGACTCCAAAACCAACCCTCAAACCTGCCCTAGGTGAGCTGAGTTCCTGAGGGCCTGGTTCTTAAATGTCCTGGCACACCCTTCACAGAAGCGCTGTGAGAGTAACAGTCCCTGCAGCACCCAAGCCCAGGTGCTACAAGAAGCAAGGCGGCAGGTCTGGCTCTTCCTCCGCATCTCCTCAATTCTTGCAGCAGAGGGAGAAAGCAGTCTCTCATTTTACACATGAGGAAACTGAGGACTAGAAGGGACTTGCCCCAAGGGCACAGCAAAGAGGGCCTGTGATGAGCGGCTTTGGGGACAGCACCCAGGGCTCCTGGCCTCTTGATGCTCATGCCCTATGTCACCTCTTCCCTGTGAGTCTGAGCTAGACCTGGTAACTGACTTCTAATGAACAGAATGCAGTAAACATGATGGAGTATCACTTCTGAGGGTAGCTTGCAAAAGATCATGACTTCTGTCTCAAGCATACCTTCTCTCTCCAGCTCACACTGGCTGGCTGCTGGCTTGTGAGCTGCCCCATGACAGACCCAGGTGACCAGGAGCTGAGGGCAGCCTCTGGTGAACAGCCAATGAGGCCCTCAGTCTAAGGCCCTGGGGAGGGCAGAACCCTAGTAGGGTTGTTAACCCTGCTAAAAACCGTGTGAGTGAGTCTAAAAGCAGCTCTTGGCCGGGCGAAGTGGCTCACACCTGTAATCCCAGCACTTTGGTAGGCTGAGGCAGACGGATCACGAGATCAAGAGATCGAGGCCAACATGGTGAAACCCTGTCTCTACTAAAAATACAAAAATTAGCTGGGCATGGTGGTACATGCCTGTAGTCCCAGCTACTAAGGAAGCTGAGGCAGGAGAATCGCTTGAACCAAGGAGGCAGAGGTTGCAGTGAGCTGAGATCACCCCACTGCACTGCAGCCTTGGCAACAAGAGCGAGACTCTTGTCTCAAAAAAAAAAAAAAAAAAAAAAAAAAAAGCAGTTCTTTCCCTGATCGAACCTTGAGATGAGACCCCGGCCCTGGCTAAGTCCTTGCCTGCAGCCAGGGAGAGACCCAGTGCCACAGGACCCAGCAAAACCATATCGAAATTCTTGACCCTGGAAGCCGAGGGATAATCAATGCTTGCTGTTTTCAGTCATTAAGTTGTAGGGACATCTGCTACACAGCAATAGGTAATAACACGGGGTAAGAGCTGGATGATCCCCCAAGTCTACCCAGCATCTGAGGCTGGACACAGGACATGACCCCCTCCACGATGGCACACTCTAACGTTTTCACTGGTGCGGCCCTCACGTGTGTGTTGCTCGGGATGATGCGGGGCCTATCAATCGCATCTCCCCAGGCGCAGGGACACTTGGTGGTCTGCTCAAGGCTGGACAGAGGGGAAGGGAGAGCTAGGACTCAAACACTCACTAACTCCCAGCTAAGGCTGAGTCAGTGGCCCTTCTCTGTCTGAGTAAGCCGCACATCAGTTCTTGGCTGGGGTACCTGTCTCCTGGTCCCTCTCCTGCCCCTCAGAACCCAAATACAGGATCTGATGCAATCCTCTACCACCAGGTTACACCGCCAGCTAACTCCGTGGGAAGGTTTCTGGCCCTACCTTCTGAACTTGGGGCACAAACGGCGTTAGCCACCCCTCTCTCCCACCACCTTCACCTCTTCCATTGCAATGGTATTCTCTGAAAATGTCTTACAGATGCCAGAGCCTCACACACAAACTGGTCCCTGAGCAAGAAGCCACAGAAGCCTTGGAGACATTCTGAGGATGCTGGGTACCAAAATCATCCAAGAAAGAGGTGGCAGGGTATGGGGCAGGAGAGGCTGATCCTACTTCCTTGTTTTTCCCCCTAACTGGGGGAGCTGGGAAAGGGATGTAGATGAGCTGATTCCTGGGGCCTCCCCCAGGCTGGTGGTTCCAGGATTCTATGCCTGGCCCAGGCTTTAATCCTTTCATGCGGCCAGCAATCAACACAGACAACTTCCTCATCAGGTCCCGTCCAGATCATGGTCTTCAGTCTCCGCTTTGCAACCCTGCCTTCTGTGAAGGACTCCTGCTCAGGAACAGAGACAGAGAAGTCAAGGCCACCTGGGGTCTGGTTCCAGACTGGGCTTTGCCCTGACTTTCCTCTCCTAAGCTGACGAGTGCTGCCCGCCATCTGCTACCACCTGCCTGCTTGCTTGGCTTTACCCACATAGCCTCCTGGCCAGCTGGGCCTGACCCCTTGCTTCAAGACCACATCTATTACCTTCAATAAAACGCGAACCCCCACGTTTCTGCTGCTGAGAATACCCCCACCCTGCTCCCACACTGTGACATCTCTTTGATGTGGATGGGGAGCCTGTTCCCAGGTCTTCTGCAGCAGGAATTGATTAGGGCAAGAGGGTTTTTCTTAAAGAGGAGAACAGAATCATTTCTTTGTCAGTGAAGACACATTTTCAGAACCAGTCCATTTTCAGACATGAAAGCTCGGTGTCTTTCGGAATGCCGCTGTGGTTCTGTTCAGGGAGGCAGGCTCTGGAATCAGGCTGCCTAATCAAACCCAACTGTACCACTTACAAGTGCGACAGACCTCAGACACGCTGCCGAACCTCTGTACCTCCGTTTCCTCATCTGTAAAATGGGAATGAGAGGTTCTCCATTTCCCAGAATGAGAACAAAGAATAAAGGAACACAATACCTAATGTCCAATAAATACCTGCCAAATGTTACCTAATTCAGTCACAAGCATTAATGTGATGTAGCATGAGGGACTGATCTTTTATTCCTTAGTGGACAGATGGGTGAGTGAATATGTCTTTATGCTTCTATGTAAGACTGCACTATTTTCCTAGCAAATAAATGAAAAGTCCTAGAACTGTTAATAGAATGTGCAAGGCTCATTTCTAGGCCCACCTCCACTACTCACAAGCTGTAAGACTCCCTCTCGCTGGGACTTGGTGTCCTCATCTGCAAAAGGGGTGGGCAGGACTATTCTCAGCTGGGCCCTTGTGGCTCTGTGACTCCACGGCCAGGCCCCTGTAAAGCGGAGGCCAGGCGTTCCAAGCAGGCGCTGCCGGCCTGGATCAGGGCGGGGGCGCAGGACTGAGAATAAAATAGCTCTCGATGGCCGTGGGGAGGAAACTCCACAGGGAGGAAGGGAAAAGTGATGGAAAGTCTAAAAATACCCCCGGCTCCAGAGCCCTCAGCAACCAGCAAGCCCTCGGACAACGGAAGCCAGACGGAACACAGCAGATCACGGAGGGGCTGCCGGAGAGGCCAGGGGCCCAGAATAGCTAAGGAAGGAAAGATAAATAGGGAAGTTCTTTAAATGTGTGGCTGACCGCAGTCAGACCATGGGAGCCGGAAAAGAATGGAGCTATTGAGGGAGATGGGAGCCAAGGGGCGGGCTGGGGCTGGGGCAGGAAGGGCGGGGTTGGAGGGGGAGCGCTGGCTCCCACCTCCTCCCAGCTGGAGTCCTGTGGCAGGTGTCTAGCCGACCTGAGTCTCAGATTCCTGTCCAGAACATGCCGGCCTCTCCTTTGGCATAAGAATCCAAACGGAGTGGACGGGAAAGTGCCTCAGAAGAAATGCTGTCAGGACCCAGGCCAGTGAAAATCCTTTCTCAGCCAGCGGCACCCCTTCAAACTGCTCTGCTTTGGGGTTCTGTTGGGCGGGGGGTGGTGATGTTTATTTATTATGTTAAAAATCTTTTTTTATGACGGTGTGGTGTAACAAGCCCGTAGAATGGGGACTGGCACGCTACAGTCTGTGGGCCAAATCCTGCCCACCATCTGTTTTGGTAAGGAATTCATTTACATATTATCTCTGTTCCTGGCATGTTCCCACTACAAGGGCAGGGCTGAATACTTGTGACGGAGACGTCTGGCCTATAAAGTCTAAAATACTTACCATCTGGCTCTCTACAGAAAAATCTTGCTAACCCCCGGTATAGAAAAGTGTACACATCGTAAGTGTACAGCTTGTTCAATTTCCACAAACTGCTCACAGCAGTAACCCGCACCCAGCTCAGGAAACAGAACCCAGAAGCCCCCTCTCCAGGGGAGCCGCTCTTCTGACTTCTACCGGCAATAATTAGTTTTAGGGCTTTCGCCCTTTCTCTACGCAGAGTCTTCGAGGATGACCTCTGTTCGCGCCTGGCCTCTTTTGCTCACCATTTTGAGTCATCCACGTTGCTGTGTGTAGCTATAAATTGTTCATTCTCACTAACACACAGTAGTCCTTTCTGTTACTAGACTTACTTATCCATTCAATGAGCCCTGGGCATATGGGGATTTCTAGTTTGGAACTGTTAGGAACAGTGTGCTAAGAACATTCTAGTTTGCATCTTTCAGCAGATACGCACACATTTCTGTTGGCGACATACTGATAGGTGAACTGTGACTTCTGAAGCTTCGTATTATTGGGTGGTGATTCCATCCTAGCCTCCACCTCACTGGCTGCTCGCTTACCAGGCACTTGGGGTCTAGAACTGGAGGGAAGGTAAGCAGGGCCTGTGGGCAGCCATACTGTCACAGATGTTAAGGCCCTGGGCCACCCCAGGTGCTAGGATATGGCACCCCAGGGCAAGTCACCAATAAGCAATTAGTGCCCATGGCTATGGGGGCTCAAGAGAAAACGCTCCAAAGCAGCATGTCCCAAAAGTCAGCGACGGAGCCCCAGAGTCATGAGTCAGAGTCAAAAGAACATCAGGAACTGCGAACCCCGCGCTTCCAGGGGAGCTGCAGGGCCACATCTGCCAATGAGGGGCTGGAAATACCCACAAGAAAGAAACCTGCTCACCTCAATGAAACGCAAGGTCTCCCCAGGCTACTTGGCCGGGGAAATCGTCATGAACAGAACACCCACTAACCTTCCCAGAAGGAGCTGGCTGCGGAGCACACTTTGGGAATGGCCGCTCTGAGGCTCCGTGTTGCGGTTTTGTAAGGATGGTCTGGCCCCAAAGCTTGAACCCCAGAACTGTGTCTCTCAGAGGCCACCTGGAGCAGTTCTGGGGGAGAGAATGAGCATCTCCTCTGCCTCCCACCCCAAGCCCTTGCCCCTCAGCAGCCCACGAGGAGGAAAAGGTACTCACTGCTTTGGGAGGCTCCCTCCCCTGAGGTGGCTTCGGTGTCTGCAAAGAGAGAGAGAGAGGAATGGGGGTAAGCCTACCGGCCCAGTGATAGGGACAGTGCCAAGCGCAAAAGAACGTGGAAGCCACAGGGGAAGAGCTCACAGTCCTGCCCTGGGCCGCTGATGTCAGCCTCTCCTCCCTGCTTGCCAGGCTCCGGCAGGAACGGACGCCATCCCTCCTGTCCCCGATACCCACGCTTGTCATGAGGAACACACACACTGACCCTAGCACATGCCCTGTAGGGACCAAACCACTGACCCGAACAGTGATGAGGTGTCCTGGGAGGCGTGAGGCCCGAGGGAAGCAGGTGTGTTCTTGGGAGTCCCCCTCCCACACCCGTGCTATCCGGCATCCGGAGGCCTCCCTTCTGCCTGGCACCCTGCCCTACTGATGAAAGCGGGAGGAGAATGGGAAAGGCTGGAGCTCTCAGGGCCTCTGGGGTCACCCACGAGGGGCCCAAGTGGGAAACAGACAGGCAGTGGGAGGTGCAGCCCTGCCCCAGCGATCCTCTCACCTCGGTGTGCCCGCACGTGGGTCTGGAAGCAGTTGTAATATTTGTACTTCTTGCCACAGATTCCACATTCGTAAGACCCTGGAAAACAGAAAAAGAAAAAACTTGTCACCCAACCTGTGTGACCGCAAGGTCCCAGGACCCACAGGTGATGCCTCCAAGTGTGGCTGACTCTGAGTCCCAGGGTGGAGGTGGTCCCTGGCAAGGAGGCAGCACCGAGCTAGAAGTCAGGAGGCCTGCGTCTAGACCCAGGTTTGCCTCCCATTCTCTGAGTGACCTTGGGCAAGGCACCTCTACCATCTCTGGGCCTCAGTTTCCAAATATGTAAAATGCAGCAGGTAACTTCTTTAGCTAACTCTCAGCCCTATACCTTGACGGGAGAAAGAAGATGAATGAAGAAGTGCTCTGAAAGGAATACATTGCATCCACGTAAGTAATCCAATAATCATTACTTAAATGTATTATAATTTCTAGTGACCCCTTTTCCTTGCTGGGATGGGACAGAGATTAAGACAGAGTGAAAGAGACACACCTGGGTCCCTGTCCCTGTGCTATCACTTACCAGCAGCATGACCTTGGTTTTTTGTTTTGTTTTGTTTTGTTTTGTTTGAGACAGAGTCTCACTCTGTCTCCCAGGCTAGAGTGCAGTGGTACAATCTTGACTCACTGCAACCTCTGTCTCCCAGGTTCAAGTGATTCTCCTGCCTCAGCCTCTTGAGTAGCTGGGATTATAGGTGCCAGCTACCATACCCAGCTAATATTTGTATTTTTAATAGAGACAGGGTTTCAGCAGGTTGACCAGGCTGGTCTCAAACTCCTGACCTCAGATGATCCGCCTGCCTCAGCCTCCCAAAGTGCTGGGATTACAGGCATGAGCCACCGCACCTGGCCTGGCCTTGGTAATTCCCTTAGATGCACTAAGCCTCAGTCTGCTGATCTGCAGAATGGGACCACATGCACCCACCGTGTAGGGGTGGCCCTACACTCCTTGTAGGAAGTGCCCAGCCCCACTACAGACATGCTTAGCAAGAAGAGGACCCCCCACACCTGCTGAAGAGTTGTCCTGTTCCCTCAGACACACAGAGACCAATGTGGTGTAAATGCCTGCCTCTAGCCCCTCCAGCTCCTTGCCAGGCCCTTCTCCCAAGAGCAGGGAGACTGAACTGGCCAAGCTCCTAGTGGGCACTACAGAGAGGTTAACGGAAGAACCTACCCATGCAGAGGCCAGGGCAAAGGCCCATGGTAGGAGGCCAAGAAAAGCCCCTCGGATCCAGCCTGGCAGGGGCTCCAGGGGCAGAGTCCCTACCTGCTCCCCATCAAAACCTGATGCCACCTGAGCCCAGGCCTTGCTCTTCCTAACAGAACAGCCAGGGAGCGTGGACAAATGCAGAGGCCTCAGCCCACTCCAGGCTTTGCAATCTAGAGTGGCTGGGGTCGGGGCCTGCCTATTATAAGGTCCCCAGGGAATTCTGGTACCCAGCATCTGGGGATGGGAGAGGCAGACCTGGGCTAAGAGTCTTCCCTCTGCCATATACTGGCTGGGCCTCAATTTCCTTGTGGGAAAAACGTGTATGATTCAAGAGTGTTGGTGTGAAGACCGAGTTTACATGAAGAGTGTTCCCAGCACAAGACCAGACCCTCCGTGAAGGTGGAGATCATTTAACTCCTACTCCCTTGGTCTTGCCTGGAAGCAGCGGCCCATTTCCTGGGTGGGGATCTGAGGCAGGAGGTAAAGCTAGAAGAAGAGCACCAATGTGGAGTCTGAAGCCTAGTTCAGCTCTGCTATCCCTTAGCTCAGGGGTCTCCAATATTTTGGCTTCCCTGGGTCACACTGGAAGAAGAATTGTCTTGGGCCACACATAAAATATGCTAACACTAATGATGGCTGATGAACTAAAAAAAGAAAAAAAAAACACAGACTCATAATGTTTTAAGAAAATTTACGATTTTGTGTTGGGCCGCATTCAAAGCCATCCTGGGCCACATGCGGTCGCGGGTCATGGGTTGGACAAGCTTGCCTTATCTGTTTCATCTCAGACACATCCTTTTACCTGTTCAAACCTCCATTTCCCCACCAGCAAAATCGGCCTCTGATTCCTGTATTTCATGACGGAGGTCCGTATCTGATAACCAGGTTCATCCTGTGAGTCAGCTGGCACACCGCAGGTGCTGAAGAACAGGAGCCGGGGCCACTGGTACTACTGTGGGTCACTCTAGGGGCCACTGTCATCCTAACACGAGCATGGGATTTAGCAGCCTGTTATTTAGTGGTCTGTATGTGGATTACCCTTGTCACACAGGGAAAAATACAATCACGTGGAGGGCAAAGATCAGATTGCATATTTCTTTGTATTTAGCCCTATGATTGGCACACAGCAAGGGCTCCATAAATCCATGGTGTCTTGCTGTTGTACTCATCTGTCACTGAGTAATAATGCATCCAACTCTCTTCTACTGCCTCCACCCACTCTTCAGCAGTTTCTGCCAATTCCCCTTCAACCAGCAAAGAATTTACAGAGTGACTGCAATGTGCCGGCACTAAGGCCCCAGCAATGAGCAAGATGCGTTCCCCGTCCTCTGTGTAACGGGAAGTAGACAGGCCAGCTGGCATGGGGACAATGCAAGGTGATGGCGTTAGGGCAGCAAGTGTGGGGCCTGGGGGCACAGAGGCAGGACCCTGGCTCAGCCACAGTGGGGAGGCCCAAGTCAGTGGAGTGGACACTGTTTATAGCCAAGCCAAGTCCAGACTGGCAGGCCATGGGGGGTTCACCCCAAGCTGTAGGAGAGCTGAAGGCACATGCAGCCTTACCCGCAGGTGTCACCCCACAGAGGGAATCACGGGGGGCATGATGGCTCCTCAGCCTCTCCTCGGCTGGCTCCTGACCCCCGATGAGGGAGTGAAGCAGCATGTCTGACACAGGGAGTCTCTGGATTGAACACCATGTGCTGGCAGGAGGGACCCTGAGCTGCCCTCCTCATGCAGCCTAAAACCCAGGGCTCCACCTGCAATTCACCCAGCCTAAAACCCAGGGCCCCGCCTGCCCCCAACTCAGCCTAAGACCCAGGGCCCCACCTGCCCCCCACTCAGCCTAAGACCCAGGGCCCCACCTGCCCCCCACTCAGCCTAAAACCCAGGGCCCCGCCTGCCTCTCACTCAGCCTAAGACCCAGGACCCCACCTGCCCCCAACTCAGCCTAAGACCCAGGGCCCTACCTGCCCCCCACTCAGCCTAAGACCCAGGGCCCCGCCTGCCCCCCACTCAGCCTAAGACCCAGGGCCCCGCCTGCCCCCCACTCAGCCTAAAACCCAGGGCTCCACCTGCCCCTCACTCAGTCTAAGACCCAGGGCCCCGCCTGCCCCCCATTCAGCCTGACTCTGGGCTTCAGGTTCCCCTATATGCAGATGGGACCAGAGAGGTGAGTGTTGAGAGGTGGGGCATGGGAAGAGTTCACCAGAGTGGCAGCCCACAGTGCAGCGATACCAGCAAATCTGGGTTCAAACCCCGGCTCACCACATCCCAGCAGAGGGAGCCCTGGACAAGTCATGGAATGACCTGCACCTCGGGTTTCCTCTCTGTAACACTGGCCACCCTTCAGGGGGACGGGCTATGAAGGATCACACAGTGGGTCCCTAGCACAGGGCCTGGTCCACAGCCGGCACTCGATACACGACAGCTGCTGTTACTTGCAGTGTTTGCCAAAGTTTATTCTTTGGAACCCAACTTCCTGAATGCACCCCAGGAAAAAGAGGACCATGGCTAAACGAGCATGAGGGAGACCTCGTGGCGTGGCCATCCTGGGGAGGCCAGGGCACAGGAGTAGATGCAGGCTCTGAGAAGTCCTGCAGTGAAAGGTCAGCAGCTGGTTTAACCCGGGGTCTCCCAAACACATTTGGCTTGGAACCCTTTTGTCCCCTTGGCCTGTTTCAGAGTTGCAGCCCGCAGGAAGCGCTGCCAAAATGCACTGGACATTCTAGGCATCCAGATTTCCACATGCTCTACCTTCCCTTCAGCACTCCAGTCCTTCTGGGATCCCAGGACACGGGATGAGGAGGGCGACTCCTCTTGACCCTAAGATGCTAGCAGGGCCTGCTTTCTCGGGTCTGTCGCTGATGGCTGTGTCCAGCTGTGCCCCCACCCATGCTGGCCCCGGACCAGGCACTACCCCTCGGCCATCACGTACCAGATGCATATCTCAATGCTTGGTCAAAAATCCAGGTCCCTGAATACCGGCTTCGCACAGATCCACCGTGGGGGCTGCCTTCGGGCGCTTTTCCATCTGAATTACGTAAGAAATCAGAAAGAGCCCTTAAAGTTGGAGAATGCCTGGGAGGTTAGGGAAGGGGCGAAGTTGGTTGGGGAGGGGCTCTGAGTCTAGCGTTGGCCAGTTAGCTGCTCTTTGAGGGCCTCAGTCTCCCCAGCTGCCTTCTGAGAAGCGTGGACAAGATCATACTGTCTACCTCTTCACTAAAAACCTTCTGCTGTCCACGGGGCAACCATGTGCTCCCCAGGGAGGCTGAGGGACCGCAGGATGCAGCAGCCACGGGCCAACAGCTCCCTGAAGTTTTGTGTTTTCTCTGTATTCTGATTCATCATATGATCAGAACATACAATTTCTACCCAAAAACCATCCGGCAAAACGACCCTCCAAGGAGATGGGCCCCACGGGTGCAGTGCCCATGTGTCCCCCTGGCCTTTGACCACCGCAGACCCAGACTGATGCTGTGGGGCGAGGAGGGTCTTCTTGGGGACTCAGCTCAGACGGTCCCCAGCCCCAATGCCTGACTCCCTGCCCAGCACGTTTCCTCTTCTGCTCATCCCAGCCACTTCTTTCCTCTAGGAACCATGGCTGTCACCATCACCGCCTGTCTGGGTTCACTTCACCCGCAATGTTTCCACACAGACTGACCTCTGCTCTGCTGCACGGGTGAGGAAGCAGGAGCTAGGACAGATGTGTGCAGCATCGAGCACAGTTCACGCAGCCAGCTGGTGGGCTCCGGGTCCTGGCTCAGGGGCTTCTCACACCAGCTCCATTCATCCTCACAATTCCAGCAGGTAAAGGTGATTACTATCCCCATTTTTCAGAAGAGGAAAGTGAGGACCAGAGGGGCAATGCATAGCACCAGAGGTCAGTCAGATCTGATTTGCTCCCAAGCCATGCAGCTAGCCTCTTGGAAAGCACCATGAAGAAATGGGGCTTGTGAACTGCGTGCAGTGAATCCTAGCATTTTGGGAGGCCAAGGTAGGCAGATCATCTGAGTTCATGAGTTCAAGACCAGCCTGGGCAATACAGCAAGACCCTCACCTCTACAGAAAACACAAAAAACACAGGTGTGGTATCCTCCTGTAGTCCTAGCTACTTGGGAGGCTGAGGTGAGAAGATCACTTGAGCCCCGGAGGTGGAGGCTGCAGTGAGCTGTGATCACACCACTGTACTCTAGCCTGGGCAACAGAGTAAAATCCTATCTCAAATAAGAGCGAAAAAGGAAGGAAGGAAAGGAGGGAGGGAGGGAGGGAGGGAACGTTTACTGATGACCAAGCACACCAGGTCTCATTTCTACCCACCACTTTCCCAGAAGTCCTCATGAGGCTGGCAATGCAGCATCCATTGCAAGGATGAGCATAAGGCTACAGCAGCTCAGCTAGTGGCTGGCAAGGAACTGGGCTTAAAGTAGGCTTTGGGGATCCAGAACCATGCCACTGCCACCATGCCAGGTCACCTGCTGGATGCCAAGTGAGTTGTGTGTTCCTTTCAGTCATGGCACTTTCCTTAAATGCCATAGAGCGGCAGAGCCCCCTACTATGTCTGATGCTGCCACAGGACTCCCAAGAGTCCTTTATTGAGAGCCCTGGGACTGCTGCCAGGGATGGCTGGCAGGGCTCACCAGCGCACAGGAGGCAGGAGCAGACTTTTCCTCTCCCCATTCCTGCTGGCACAAGTGATGCAACAGGAATCCGCAGGCGCCATCCCATCAAATCTGAGTTCACAGCTCCCACTGAGCACTTTCCCTAAACACCTGGCTTAGCTCCCTCCCAGAGCATCTGACGGACCAGGTAAGGCCAGGGGAGTCTAGTTCCTGACATCACAGAGGGAGACGCTGGGAATGCCTAGGAAAGGATGTAGGCTTCTGAGAAAGAATGTGGGGTAGCCACCCTTTGCCAGGTCCAGAGAAGCTCAGATGCCTTTCAGGATTCACAAAATGCAACAAGATAAAAAGCCAAAGCAGGTGAAGGAGAGGAGAAAACACCAGGGTAGGGACAGAAGGCTGTTTCCTTACAACGGGCAGTCCATACTTAGTTTGGAGCATCTGGGGCGCTGCTGTTCAGAGAACAAATGCTCAGGAGTGCCCAGCCCTCTCCGTTCAAACATGCAACAGGAGCTGGGTCCAGGGCTTGCAAAAGGACAGGGATCTGAACGGGGAAGTCATGGACAAGTAGGTTTCCTGGGGATCTGGGGCTTGGCCCCAGACCAAATGTCCTCTGGAGCAGGGACTTCTGAGTGAGGCACAAATCTCCTGGGAGTGTGCGGCAGCTGCCCAGGGGGGAAGCAGGTCCACACAGCCTTAAGAGAATCATCAGCTTCTAAATGTGTTCTTTCCGCAAATCAGTGTGCCCGAGAACCTGGCAGGTGGGAGGCCCAACTTGCTGGTTCTTCCCACTCTCACCTTCACCCTTCTGCCACGTTACAAACAAAAGATGATCCTTTCACCCACCGCTAATCCTACCACAGTGCCTGAGTGCCCCAACAGATGAAAACCTCGGGGCTCCAAGCAAAGAGGTGACCCTACCACACCGGTGCCAGGCTCAGAAAGTGAGTGGATCTAATGACCGGGAACGACTCCTTTTTCGAATCAGGGGATTTCTACTTCTTTGCTCTCAACAAAACTGAAGGAGGATCTAATGGAGCTGTCAGGCAAGAGACCATTAAAAATATTGTCTGATGATAGACCCCCGTGTGATTTCTGGCATACAACTTGGAAGGAAGTCAAAGAATTGAGTGACACTGTAAAACAAAACTCTCTCCATTGCCAGCTCCTTATTTATGTGACTGAGAGCTTTCGAAGCACTTAGACCTACAAAAACCAAAAGATAGGAATTAAATTAAAGCTGCATCTTGTCTCCTTCTAGCAATAAGAAATATTAATTCACAGATACAGGAGCCAATTGAGAAAGAAATGAAGCCCTATCCATTTCATTAAGAGATGCGTTTTCAATAATTTTTTACTTTTACATTTACTATTTACCTAAATTTGGTTTTGATGAACTGTATGCTAATAACAACTCAATCTGGAAAAAAAATGTTGGAGAATGTAGAGCTTTATGATCCCAGGAAATTTTTTTTTTAGAAATTTCAATTTCAATTTATGTACATCTTGTTACGGCAGATGAGTATGAAACAGTGATCAATAAAAGACTTTCAAGCATAAAAACATATATTTTACATTAGGATAAAATCCTGTGGGGGCAGTGGACTGGAAATACGAGCTCAAGGAGAAAAAAGAAAGATGTAAAATTTCTGACTGTTAAAGATAGGCTTGTTTATATGTTTCTGAAGTGATGATGGCGGATATCAAATAGTGGTGGTGTTTGGATTCCCTTGGATACATTTTGAAAATTGGTTCACAGTTTTATTTCCAAAATGCCACCTTTTTTTTTTTTTTTTTTTTTTAAACGCAGTATCACAATATCCTGGAAATTATATCCTTTGCAATGATTTAAACTTTGGATAAAAATGTTAGATGTCAACTTAAACATGTGAAAAAGAAGATACAGTTTTCAAAATTCTTTTAGGAGGTACTGAGCAAAAACAAGCGTTTGAAATCCGTGGCCTTTTAGGTTCCTGTCACTCTAGAGGTAATCAGTGTCCTAGAGATATCAGCGTCCTGAGGTTTCAGCTAATGGCAGCGGTACTGGTTTTACGTTTTTTTGCCCCCTGTTAAAAACACTTGCATGCCTATTACTTCCCTCTGCCCCTAACAATTCTACTGGAAAGAGGTGCAGGCTTTATTCTACCTACTGATCATTCAAGACACGGTGGCTTAGAGAAGTTAAGGGGCTTATCCAAGGCCCCACAGTAGGGTAAACCCGGCGCTCTAACAGGGACTCTCCAGCCCTTTAGACCACAGGAGGAAGCGTCAGTAGCAGAGACAGGACGCGCCTGGGAGAGCCGCCAGAACGCCTCCTTTCCGAGTGGCTGCAGCAGAGAGCTGAGAGTTGGTTCTGGCAGGCTCTCATGTGAGGCCCTGCCAACAACCTATTGAAACAGGAAACTAACTATCAGCTGGCAGATGAATCAGGACCTGGCACCTACGCTGCCTGGGTCTGTCACAGGCTAAAACCCACGTGGCTGTGTCTGAATGTCTGTCAAGCTCCTCTGCTGCTTCTTCCAGCGCCACAACCTAGCTGCTGCCTCCTGGCTGGAGCTCCTTCCTCCTCCTTTCCAGGCCCCCCAGGCTGCCCTGTGTGTGTGAAGACACCTCTGTACCTTGGTCCTGAAAGCTTGCTGCCTAGAAACATCCTTGCAGGATCCAGTCTCCCATCTGTCTGATCCTTGACTCTCCCTCCTGCACTTTGTCCAGTGACCCTCCCTGATCACCTATGTCAGGACCAGGAACTCACTCCCTCACAGGCGCACGTCCAATAGTTCCCATGATCACACAAAGTCCTTCCTTTCACTGAGCTGAAATCCCCTCCTGGAGACTTCTTCGTATTGGCTGGGACACCCCGGAATGCGTCTGCTCCATATGCCCCTTGCAACATGCTGTAAGTTGTGAATATTTAGATTCCATCATCCTCCCCCTCATGCCTCCACTAATCCCAGTCTCCTCCTAACCCAGGACAAACAACCCTTAGCTCCTCTATGGAGCTCTTCTCCGCACCGAGCCGACTCTCTGGGGAAGGACCCAGTGGGTACCCGTCCCTCATCTGAAGAGAATCAAGTCTGGGTCACGCGTTCTCTCCACGGTCTCCTGCACTGCCACTGGGGAAGCTCAGTAAGTCCCGGGTCTCCGGCCCCTACAGCTCTCCCTGGGCTGCCTTTTTAGTAACCACTTCAGGATTAAGGACCACAGCCTGGAGAGGAGCACCCACTGCTTGACAGTACACCAGATCGCCACGATGGGAGGCGGGCATCCTCCTCTCTTAGAGCCAGGAAATGGTCTGTGGGCTGGATGCCCTGATTCTTGTAAACACAACTTGCCTTATCTTCATCGAGAACAAGAATGGCAAGCAGCTTTCCACTTCTAATTTTTCAGTTCTAGCTGACTGTCAGAGACCTCT